GTTTGGCAGCGATTGCGCTCGACACTCGGAAAAAAGTATCCTAATCAATTGACGAAATAAATTTAAAAGCATTTTTTGCGGCAGCGCACTGAAAACGAACATTGGCCCCCGATGGGCGCGAATAAATATTTCAAGCCGATAAATATTTCAAACTCTTGCGCGCAGTATTTTCGCCGCTGCAAGAGTTGATCGCGAAGCGGAAAAAGTGGAAACGTGCTGCATGTGTAGCAGCGTGGTTTTGGCGAAAACAAAACGATGCGAAACGATGAAACGTGAACATGAGCACATGCCGACGCGTTAACACATTGGAAAGTAGTCTCGAGACGTAAAATGTGTTGCCACTTGATAATCTATAAATTTAGTGTTGCCAACACACACAGATGAAAGAACAGTACAATGGCAAGTATTTACTAACAATTGCTATGTTTGGAGTATAAGGGGTTTAATGTGATAACACTGTATGCGATAAAGATAAAGCGGCTGCGGTCTTTTCTGCTCATTGTTCGCGCGCGCTCGAAGCCGGTGCTCATATAAGGCAATTTTTATTCAAACCATATAAACCTCAAAACCATCATGCATCAAAAAGGCCATTTACACTATGAAATTCTAGCAAATTGCCTCGCGCGCTCGTTGTGCGCTCGACGCCACACCGAAGATAACAGCGTTCATCTATAAAACATGCTGATATTATGATGTCCCATAAACTCTGATTTGAGCTGGCGGCGGTGGCGGCGGCAACGTTTTCTACTGCTGCTCTGCCACTGCTGGTGGTAACGACTGCCGCGCCGCGTTTCGTCTCTATGTGGTTGTTGGTGTGTGTGGGTGTGCGGCTGCTATATGCCGGGGCGCGCGCTTAAATATTTATAAAACAATCATCATTCGACCATCATCACAACATGGCGGCTGCGGCAAGCGGCACCGCCGGGGAATTCAACTTCCCCTCCCGACAGCAGCATGTGGACTGGCATCCAGGGATGGGCATATGGCGGGCGCGGGAAACGCCAAACTGTTATGAACCGCTCAAATATTTATATTTGAATAGAGATACCTCTTAAATTTTGCTCGGCGGTGGCGGCGCGTGTAATGCCAAAGGGAGGTGCGCGCCGCCGCGTTTTGCAACAATTTCGTCGCCCTATTTTCTTTCGAAACCACACGGGTAATAAACGCGCCGCACGCAAATTACATTGCGCAATCACACTTCCCAGCGCGTCGCGCGCTTTTGGCGGTCGGCGATAAACCATAATCGAGTATATATCATGCGAAATTAAACTCGGAATCGTTAAAATGCAAATGCTAATAACGCAAAACCCTTATATTATTAACACCACAACAAGCAACAGTCAATTTATGAAAAATTTATGTTTATTATAGTACTATACGCCAGCAATATTTAAACTTTAAATTTAATTTATTTTGAAAGGAAATCTAAGGATTTATACTGACATAATAATTAGAGATGACTAATTTGTAATTTGTCTTTGGTTGCATACTTGGAATAGTTAAGGTGCGCATAGCGCACGTCACTCGGTGCATAAATAGGGTAGAATAGACTCTTAACTAACACTCACACACACATTTAAAACTCATGTATGGAATGCGAGCGAAAGAGACATCCAACAGTCGAAACAGTTGAGTTATAAGACAGAGTTGTATCACTTGTTATTTTAATAATCTCGTACGCACGCATCGGTGACATCGACTTCCACCCCATACACACGAGTGTTTTGTTTGCTCACTGCGCTCTTCTTGGATACGCCGCATATTATTTATGTTTGTTTATTTTCGTGACACTTTAAACACGCATTAATCCTAAGCATACTCGCTGTTATAACCTAAAAATAACAAGGATATTTATTAGATTTTATTTTATGCGTGAAAATTTTCATTTTCCTGAATATGTTTTTTGATAGATTTCTCTAAATTTTAATATTTAAGCGTCGGAAACATTTGGTATATTAATGTCGTTTTGAATGAATGGAAATGTTAGCGGCGGCCAGAACTCGAACGCGACGCGATTATTTTAAGAGAACTTAATTATCTCCAACATGAGTTGTCTCGCAGTCTGACACATTGTGCGCTTTTCGGCGTTAACTACACACTTTAAAATTGGAAGCCGAAATCGCCCACTATTATATTATCCTTGTGTAAATGTGTGCGTTTGTGTGTAGCGCACGTTTGCCGTTAATTTATTACTTTTCTGCAAATCATGTCATACGGAACGACGTTTAAACGCGCTGAAATTAAAAACACGCAGGAAAAAAACGCCAAATTAAATTTAAATTTGTAGAATGTTAAAAATACGTCATGGATGCACCATCAAATTAAAAATACCTATATTCACGCACAAATGTCAGTGTTAGATATGTGTGTTTCCGTTGCCATTTGTGGATGTTGAGAGTGTGAAGTGTGATGAAAACATTTATCCACGCACCGCTGTTGTAAGGTATTGAACCTTAAATGACTTGTCAGTTTACGCCTCCTGTGGTGCAACAGTTAATTTCCTGTTATTTCTACGATTTCGAATTGTTTGTTTACAAATCTATTTTTCTATTTACAGAATCAAATCCTGGACATATGGTTTACCTATTGATGTGAGGGAATGCAAGGTAGGAATTATTTTTTTCTATAAGAGAGCGTAAATTGCTTTATTTCTTGTTTATTGCGTTTGTGAAGTTATAATTTATACAGTTTTTTGCTGGGAAAATTTTTGTGACTATTTTTTTTATAACTCTGCAAAACGATGTGATTGAATTGAATCACCTCTGGCAAAAGTAGTAGAGGTATATTGAAGTATCGTAAATACGCGTGTATAGCACGAGTGCAGATAGTCCTCCGGTTCAAGTGGCTCGTGAATAGAATCATTACCCAGTTTAATCGTATTTGGATAAAGACGACGACGGCGACGACGGAGCGCAGGACACAATAAAAGGAGGAAACAATTTACGGAGAGAGCCCTGCGGCCAGAACCACTTATGCCGAAATATAGGTATACTCGGTGCTTGGTCCTCTCTGCCGGGAGGGCAAGGCGTCCATGACCCATTGCACACACGCGAGCAAACACACGCGTACGGATTTCAGATGCTGCAATGGGGATCTAAAACCCATTCGCGTTCGGGTGACCCCTTGCCGCCCCGTGTAAGTAGCAGATGTGTCAATTTCATTTCAATCAGTGGATAATAGAGACGGTAATGGAATCAGTTCTTGCTCTATTTGCCAACACTTGAACGGACTCGATCCGTTTTAACATGATACAAGTGTGTGTACTAAGTGTATCCGGATGTGGGGGTTGGAAAAAAAATAACGCGGATTGTTTGCGTTGCTCTTTGACAAGTTAATTAAATTTTAAAGCATTTTGTCAAGGATATTAATATTAAATTATTTAAGCTAAGTAAAGTTAAGTGAACACTTACTGTACGCTATACCCTCACAATATCGCCAAAACGATATTTTTACTAAACCATTGAATAAATATTATTTATGCTCCGAATATTTAAGTAGAAAGCAAGGAGCCAATTTGCGCGACTACCTACATCATGATTAATCGACGCGTTTATTTCCGTTAATTACCGTTTGCAAACATATTTATGTGTGCAAAATGGGTACATTTAATCGACGTTAATGCGTAAAATATTCAAGTACCTACCTACCTACATACCTACAACCCAACTATGAATAGAACTTTGCTGTTGTAAATAAAATTCTTTTACGTTTTATACAAATAATAAATTTTTCTCACGTTTTCATAGTGAATTATGAATAAGTATGATATTTAAATAATTTAGAAATACAATGGTAGGTAGTACGAGAGGGTGAGTATAAGCTAAGTAAAGTTAAGTGAACACTTACTGTAGGTAGTCGCGCAAATTGGCTCCTTGCTTTCTACTTAAATATTCGGAGCATAAATAATATTTATTCAGTCTTCCATAGGCAGAGCTAGGTGATAGAAGAGAACTAGCGGCAGGTAGTTATTTTTATTTAAACTTCTACGAAACGAAAATAATTGAATTTCCTATTTCGAGTTTTAAATATAAATGCACACCCTGTAAATACGTTGTCGCCTCGTTACATATTCCCAGTGAGCCAGCGACTAACTGGCCGCCATCAAGCTGTCCGCACTTAGAAAATCAGGCGCGGCATGCGATCATCCGGTCGCATCGCTTGTGGGAAACGTCTCCAAACTTTTAACGCGTGTAGAGTACGTTTTCATTTCGTTTATAAGCGCAAATTATATGCGCCTGGCGTCGAAAAGCAAGTTAAACACATCATTCGGATTAAACGCGACTCTTTAATCCTTGGGGGCAAGCGGAGAGGAGGATGCTAATTTAGTGTCAGAGTTTATTAATAAAGTAGATATTATGGTTAATGGTTCACATGTTATTTAATTTTTGGGGACTATTTTGTGGGTTTGTTCCATTTTTATTTTGAATTTGCAATTGACTGTGTGTATTGTGATACAATCTGATACTTTGATGATGATCAGTTGGTTGTTGAAGTACAAACGCACATAAATTACGTGCAATAACATTTCGCCAAGCGACGTAAATTTAAATTGTTTCATCAGCGCGCTGAGGGCGGCTGGGGCGTTTGTCTAAATAAGCGAGGCTGCTATTGTCCGCGAATATGACCGACAATCATGCCCGGTTAATTCCCCACTCGCGTTCTTTTGTTATTACAGCATTTCAAATCATATTCATAATTGCAAAGCAAACACGCGCGCTGAGAGTGAGAGCGCGCGGTGGCGGTGCACCAGCAGATTTAAACACGCCGTGGATGCCTGGCCTCGAATTTAGGCATCCGCCAATCGTACGCGTGCGGTGCTCGGAGGCCCCACCAATGGCGAAGGCCTCCCTGCCACTTTACACGCACACGGGCAGTAAAGATGCTGCGGCCGCATCTCGCCATCTCACCCAGCAAAACGCTACCGACTCTCAAGCTGCCCCTGCTGCCGGCGCGCTGAAAGCTGTGTTGTTGTGACGGCGAGAGTCGAGAGAGCTGGGTAGTTGTAGTAGTAGTAGTAGGTAGGGGCCGGATTTCGTAAAATATGCCCGATCAAATTCGACTTTGGTCGCCTTGTGGGTAGTTAGTGCATTCCACATTCGCAAATCGTGCACTCATCACCACGCGCTCCTCTCTCGTTGATCGTGCGTGTTTGTATGTACAATCAAACATTACGTGTGCGCTTGTTTTGTGGGTGAAAACATGTGTGACTACTAAGACTCTACGAATTCATCAAGTGTGCTGCGATCCTGTGAACGAACGAGATATCAATGATGACAATGATGATGATGCAGAGAATCATCGAGTCCTCGCACAAGGGCCAGGAGCTGAGTCAGTCGTCTGTGGCGGCAAGCGTGCCAGCTTCACCGTCGGTGGAGAAGGATTTCGAACACCGTCGGACGCCGCTCGAGGACTCACTCTTCCTACAACCTAAGCGCATGGAAGATCCGCGTGATGTTGAAATGTGTGAGAAGCACCTTTCCGAGAGCGAAGATGATGAAGATCTCAATGTTGATGGAGACGTAGACGTAGAAAACGATGATACTCTACCAGTGGACCTGACGCGACGGCAAGAGAACTTTTATGTTGGTGGAATGCTTGCGAAAACAGTTGCCGATGATGTCATTGAAGGCGTTAGTGATAAGCCGACGGTCCTGGTGAGCACGAAACCACGACCGGAGAGTGAGTGCAGTGATGTCAGTAGATCCGACAGTCCACGGGACGTTAGCCCATCAGTGGTGGCGAATCCGACAAATCGTCGACTTGCCTTCTCGGTGGAAAACATTCTGGACCCTAATAAATTTACGGGGAAACAGGCGGTTTTTACGGACGTATGTTGCTGGAAACCACATCAAGAATCAATGGGTTCTTCAGAATTCGACGGTAGTGAAACCGGTAAGTTTCACTCTACACTAGCTTGTGTCATGACCAAAGTGTGCAAATCCTTTGATCCATCTCCTCTTCACGTTACCGTATACAATATCGCAAAAAGTTCTTATTCTAAGGGATTTCCCGCAGCAGGTTGAGCAAAGCTTTAGAAAATCCCTCAGAACGACAGCGGGTTGTCGTTGATGCACCTACCATGTTCCGGCATGCACGTTTATAACCATAAACGTTTAGTCTAACACGCGACGGGCGCATCCACACATAACCGCAGTGCATTGTTTCGGTGGTTAGCAAACAAATGAATGTGGTTAACACGTTCGTGTGTCACACGCGGGTGTCGTATTGATTTCGGGCTGGCGTCCGGCGGTACACAGCTTTGGGGGCGGCAATCCCCATGTGTTTGTGTCCGGGTGTAGGTGTGTGCGTGCGATGCTTAATCATAGTTGAGCCCCGGGATTTGCCGATTTGACCACCAGTTCGATCAAGCCATCATCAACACGATCAGTAACATTAGTAACCAAAGTCCGGCTGCTACAAGTATTTCTATAGTTGGACTTTTTGGTTTGGTAGGTAGTCGTAGGTAGACTGATTCTCCAACCTAGGTGTATCAATTAATAATTGAGGTAGCAGAAACTTGTGTGCGGTGTGTAGAGGAAGGTGCTCTCGGATGGGCAGGTTGGGGTAAAGTTTCGCGGATAGTGCACGGTCGGTTGAGTTTCTAATTCGATAAAGCAAACCGTGTCGCGGAGGCAATGGCTTCATAATTAATATGTCTTCTTGCCACTGAAGCAGCGCTCCAGTTACAGCCGGCGCTGCTCAGGAACCGAAAGGATTAATTACAAAGTTCACGGCTTGCTAACGAGCCCGCCGGCAATTAAGCTAAGACTGTTAATTACATGTCCCCCGGAGTTATATTGCATTCGCGCTCGCGCACAATGATATTCCGGGCACGTTTGTTATGGAGACTTGCGTTTGGATGTTAAGTCTTCTGCATTGCACAACTCTACGGAAAGCGGTCGCAAAGCTTCCGGAAGTTGTCTAAGTCTTTACGTAATGGTTACGGTTTCTCTCCTCCCATTCTCCTTCCAGATATCACAACCCTTTAATTTGCTTCATTTTGGAATTTAAACAACTTACAACACGCTTTACAAGAAGTCACCTCAAGTGATCAACAGGAACCATCAAAGAATTTGTTCTTGTTGCAGGAAAAGATCATGATCATCATTCGGACGATGATGATGATATGGCATCTGATATCAGTGATGATCTAAATAAGGATCCCAACGCTCCGAAGAAGAAAAAGTCCGACTCCAAGAGTCAAACGGCCGGAAAACCTCGACGTGCGCGCACTGCGTTCACCTATGAGCAACTGGTCGCTTTAGAGAATAAATTCAAAACTACGCGCTATCTGAGCGTGTGCGAACGACTTAATCTTGCACTTAGTTTAAGTCTCACCGAGACGCAAGTAAAAATATGGTTCCAGAATCGACGGACCAAATGGAAAAAACAGAATCCCGGCATGGACGTCAATTCGCCAACTGTACCGCCGCCGAACGTCGGCTCTGGCGGAGGCTTTCCCGGTTTTCCGGGTCATCATACGCATTCCGGCCTTTTGTATTCGCATCACGTTCCCTATGGCGGCGTCTATCCGCTGCCGGCCGCCGGCTCGGGCAGCTTTACGCCTTACTTTCACTTAGCAAATCACGGTCACAATTTAGGTTCTTGAAAGTAAGCGATTGGACGGCGGCTGTATAAAGTATTATTTATTACATTTTTTGTATATATAGGTTTATCTTATCTAATAAGGTAAAGTTGGAGGCCATTTTGTATTTGTGTGTATATAATGATGAGGTTGGTGTATAAACGAGAAAAAAAAACACTAGAGAAATGTGCGTGAGTGACGTCGAGATAGGTTTTAGTACTTTTAGTGGCATCCAGTGTGTGGCATCGTTGAATGAGATGGGAATCGTGCAAATAAACAATAACAACAATTACCCAGCAGCCAGAGAGTGGTGTATTGTTGTTTCGGACATCTTTTATGATGATTATTCATAATTATTATGTTATATGTACATATTCTATTGCAATTAATGATTATACGCAGCAAGAAGCAAAATATATGTTAAAATATAATTTCGCAAACCAGATTTCTATTGTACATAATTTAAAATTAAATTAAATTTTCCCTAGAAACAACAAAAAATGTTTCTCCGTGACTTCCTTTAAAAACTATCGGTTTCTTTGATATATTATACTCAATTATATCTACTTTTTGGTAGTGTAGTGTAGTGTGTAGTGAGTATTCTCGTAAGTCACACTCAATTTGCTCGCTTGAAACACTTGCGCAGCTTTCTGAAGTGCCGACGTCTTCGCCAATGCAAGAAATTGAAACGCCCTGAAAGTTATTTTAAGAACAATGTGCACATCTGTGATTTTACTTGCTTTTTTTCGTCTTCTTTTTCTTTGGTCTGAACTGACTGCAATGATAAATAATTAGTCAAGGGTGTTGGGAGTGTGGATTGCGCAATTATTTTTAAACAATTTTCCGCCAAGAGGGTGGATTATACGGCAAACATATAATGTAAGCCTATTAAACTATGAACGGGGTTATTAATGAATGCGGCGCGTGTTTCATGCGTCGAGAACGATGACGGCGATCACGACGATCGCAGCGATCACCGAGGGGAAAGTGGAACTGACGCCCGGGCGGGCGGCTGGTTGGTCGTGCGCGGCAAACGTATAAAACGATCGGGGAGGCGAACACCGCCACACGAAAAGGGATCCAACCATGAAATTGAATTATACAAGAGTGCCCTATTATAACACTCTCGGCATGCGCTATATTGTGTTCGTACGCAATATACATACATACATACACAATTCAGCAAACAGCCGACATCAAAACGTAAAGTTTTGAGTCGCTAGGTACGTTTAAAAACATCAGATTTTCTCTCTTGATTTATCTTAATATCTCTGTATATTTTGGTTAAAAATAAAAAACTGAACAAGTGAGGCACTGTGCGCTCATCAGGGTCGATGTGAATGGACATCTGCATGGTCGACCTTTCCCTGCTCTCGTCAGCGATTAGAAAGGATGCCGGAATTAAATAACAAAGGACTCAGCGAGACGGTTGACAACTTTAAATTGGTTTTCTCGCGCAGATCACCCGCGTTTGCACGAGTTGAGTTGGTGCAGTGTGGTTCTCGCTTCCTCTTCCATTTAAATGTAAATTAGCGAGCGCACGCCGGCGCTAAGTTGCAGTCAAAATATTAACCGATCATTAGAATTTACATACGCACAATAAACGCGCCATTCCGAAGATGAAAATTTATTTCGGTCACGATTTAAACCGACAAAAAAAATTAACACGTCTTGATTGCACTGCAAACGCGGCAAATTAAGGTATAAATGAGTAAAATGTATCTAGCAGGTTGGAATGGTGCTCAAAACCGATGAATTCACTCGCAAGTATTAGTGAAAGGGTTCCGTGTCTCAGATTAGAACTTTAGTATGTTAATTTTCACATACTCGGGGATACTCGGGAATGAGTGAAGGCGCAAGTTGAAATCCTTGCCTGCAGTGTGAATGTTTAATGGATCTATATGTTGGGTGCAGGGTAGGAGTGGAGCTCTTTCGCCGCCTCCGCATTTGCGGTCGGCGCGCATCTCGCTACAGATCGCTCCGTTCTCAAAATACCATTTCATTCTCACGTCGATAACATGATAACCCTTTACTTCATCAAAATTTCCGCCAAAAATTTACTTGCTATTTACTTCTTTGTTTGGTAGACGTAATGGTAAACTGGATCCCCTGGAGTGGGAAAACGACAGAGGATGTTGGTTAAATATTTAAAAGAATCCTATCAACTTATAAACAGTTTTTATGGCACTTTTTAAACCGCCGGTGACAGTGCACAAGCGCGAATGTAGTTGTGGATCGTAAAAAAAGAAAAACGTCTACAAGTTGGAATAAAGTGAACATTGTGGCGCAAGAGTCTATTCATATTAAATGGAGTAACGTTATGTCAACGCTTTAATATTGCATTATTGATGAGGTTATCCTCGTAGGTGCTATTTTCCACTCGCCAGCAGGTGCCATCTTAAACACACTCTATTTTTAAAGAAAATTTTACTAGAAAAACATCAACATGCTATGTTGATGTGCGGATAAAATCAAAGAATAGAACAATATGATTAGGCGCAATTAATGTGGCCGCCTGCTGAGCTTTAGTCATATTTAACTGCCTGTGGGACGGCTGGTGTACATCGCAACATATTTGCCAATTTATCGAAACACGTCGCCGCATCCCCAAGTGGAAACGCCACACCGCCGACGTCGTTTTTCTTGCGTGCGCGATGTCACGACGATTCGTTGGCTTATTAGCATTCTCTCTGTCTGGCCAACGGCTGAAATATGACGTGGCGACAATATCACTCTAGGGACTTCATTAATGCCTCGGTAAAGTGTCGACCAAATAAAATTAATAGTGATCTTCCCTCTTTGCGGCGCCCTCCCGCGCGCGCGCGCGCGTGTATGTGTCAGGAAGCCGCATTGTGTTATCGGATGTCAGCGTTATCATTATTGCAATCAAGCCCATGCATTCAAATGCCACAAACAAGTGAACAACTGTGCTCTTTTAATGTCACCACAACTCAATGACTACACACATCTATGAATATGAATATCTGTCGGTGAGATATTTGCGATATTTTCCAATTCATAAAATTTTGTGTTAAATTTTTGCACATGTGAGGGTAATTTAAAATTCGGGCAATTATAATATAAATAGATGTCATTACTGGCCGTGCGATGCGACGACGCTAATAACAAAACACAAACGTTTACGAGGCAGCGCTCCATATCGAATTATATGTACACATCGTACGAGCCACACTTGCTCAGTTGCGTAACGGCGCCCCTGGGGTGTGCTGGGTGTAATTTATTAATAGACGGTATTAGGATCGCCGTGCGTACGTCATTTATTTCTGCCATTGTTAACTTTCGCCTGAATCGGGTGGCGAACATTGGGACAAAAGAATAAGGGTGTATCGCATACTTTATGTATGTATGTGTGTGTGTCATACACAGTTTCATTGAGTTGCTATAACAAGATATTGCTGAACTCTCTGCAAAAATCGGATTACTAAAGCAGAAAATTGCTTTGAATTGATTATGAAAAAAATGTTGTCAAATTATAATTTGGTGCGGGTCCGGTTACTAAATAAATGAAACTTTTCGCCTTCGAGGCGTATCGTTAATAATGTGTTATCTTACATATTAAAGGTTGAATTACACACCTTTGGGGGTGGCGTGTCATTGGCGGCATAACGCGTAAAAATATCGCTTACACTCAATTTTCTCTCGTCTTTCAGTTTTGCTTCGTCTATGAGTCAACGTACGTACACATTTAATTTGAGAACAAGTTTACACTTTTGTTGGGGGATTAATGATTGGATTAACACAATCTTTATTGTGTTGTCAGCTTGTGTGAACTCCAACACTTGTGTTTTTCCTTCTTCGATTATTCTTGTTGCAAAATAGTTGATTTCTGCAAATGTAATTCTCTTAGATTACAATCAGAGTTAAACTTTGTTGATAGTTTGCTGTTTATTTTAAGCGAAATATTTACTACTACATGTTGAAGTAATGGTAGAAGTAAAACCCAGCGATCGTTAAATGTTAATGGAAGAATAGAATCTACTTACACGCGGCAAATATTCAAAGTTGCTCCGAAAACGTGTAGCATTTATGCCGTCCGCAAACTGTGTGGAAATCTTGTACTATAGCGTTAATATACAGTCGCGGCTGGCGGCGGCGGCGGCAACAGAGACGGCAGTAAGAGATCGTGCGCATAATGGATTCCCAAAACCGCCCGGCTCGGCGGTGGTGACTGTCGCATGATTTCACCATGGTTACGAACACAATGGTGTTTATTTGTCCTGTGGGATCGCTAACAACGTGCCGAGCGACCGAGCCAAGCCAAGGTTTGATAAGGCCGGAGATCTCGACGAAGTCACCGGGCGCCGTCGACGACACAAAACGTTCGCTACCGCACTCGACCACCTTTGTTGTTAGCCGGTTTTAACTTTCATCGACCAGAGTCATTCTCGCAGATACCGTAAATGTGTAGGGCTAAAAATAAAAATTACTTACACTTTGGGTTTGTAAACATACGAGCACGTAGAGGTATATTAGAGCACATTATTCATAACGCTCAATTAAACGCTAATTACAGCGTTAATTATCATATTATAGCCGTGTGTGAGCATGCACCAGTTTTGCATAATTACGTACCAAATTAATTGCCTTTCATAAAGGTCAGATTATTATTTTTATCAACTATCTAATCAGGATATTTTTCCAACATGTGTCATCGGAGACAACACATTTAAATGTCGTGTTGGTACATTAACGCCGTAATTTATTAGAGTATTTGCGGTTTAATAACGTGTTGGCAATAATGCTCCTATTGGTAGCTACAGACTACTAGACAGCGAGTTGCATGCGCTCGAGGGGTGAGTTGAATTGCGAATGCACAATGCGCAAACGGAACTCACCGCATGGGAATATATTGTGCGTGTTATATGTACGTTTTAGCTTTAACGGGATAAAACTGGAACTAGAACTGGACCTGCGACTCAAAAACGTTCCACTTGCCGCCTCCGACTGTAGGGAGTTGTATTTTTTGTTTAGCTGCACACTCGTAAACCTTGTAGTGAATCGCCCTCGAAAGTTGCATCGTGTTTACAATCATTTTGGGAATAAATTCTGGTTGGGATATTTTTTTTAAATGAATGATTAAAATTATATAAATAGTAGGTATGTTTGCAATAAAATAATTGGCCGCATGTTGTTACTAATTAGCGGCGTTAAGCCCCTCGTTAATATTTTTAGTTGACCAGTTTCAGTAATTTACGCGTGGATTAACTAACTCTTTTGTCGCTGATTTAAATGAGCAGTGTCTACGTAGAGCGATATCATGAATTGCGCGTGACAGTTGATTTTTTCTAGCGTTGCATTATAATTGCAGGTGGGTCTTGTGATGCTCCTGTGGGTGGCGGATATATCGGTAGTTTTGTCGTTGGGGGTGACGCGTTGGTTA